GAAGAGCATATATTTAGCCTGGTATAGTGCTATTTAGTCCAAAATATATCCATTTTTAAGGGACCTATTTATTTATTTATTTGTTTTCAGTTCAGACGTTTATTTTCCATGTCTAGGAAGTTTGACAGTGATGGTTTGGGTCAATAATCAAATCATTTTGGTTGGGGCCTTCTGCTGAGCTAACTGAATGTGATTAGGTCTCTCGATCAAGTTCTATGCCTCCAAATTCAAGAGATGCTTTATACCAAGGGCTGCCACCAAGTATAAAATCTGCTCTGCGCTCCAAGTTACTGTCATTCCATACCAAGGAAGAGGTACATCTGACATGCAAATATCAAGCATTACTATCAGATAGTTTTTAATCCTTTATCTATTTATCCACTGACTTCAGTTGTCGTCTGCGAATGTTGTTTTTGCAGCTTACAGTTCCACAAATAAAAGCCGAAATGGAGAAGACTTTGCAGTGGCTTGTTCCCATTGCTACTAACACAACCAAGTAAAAATTTTCTAGCCTTTAATGAAGAATATTTTTTTTCTTTGTGATCCCTCTGAAAGAGTGATGAGGTTGGGAGAGTGAGGATTGGTACCATGTTTAGGAATTTTTTTTCTTCCTCTACAATCAGAGAGAATTGTGCTGTGTTGCATCTTGGACAGAAAGGACGGCGTCCTGTTTCCTGTATGCAATGACCTTCATACCCCTCTTAACAGTCACCAAGATGGTGACCAGTAGGCTTCTTGCTCGTGAAGTTATAAGATCATTTACATATAAATTCAGTTATATTACACAGCAGTTTTTAGTTTCTTAGGAGTTTTTAGTGCTTTTTAATCATTTCTCTTTCTTCATTTTCCTTCAACCAGAGCTCATCATGGGTTTGGATGGGTTGGAGAATGGGCAAATACAGGGTGAGTTTTCATCATTAGCCACAATATCTTTGTTTCTCTCATTATTATCTCTAGCCTTCTTTTCAGTAATGGATTTTCTTATTTTGTTTGTCATCCAAACAATTTTTCAGGTCTGAGGTGAACCATAGACCTGCTGGTCAGACTGATCTCCTAAGAATTGAGACACTACATCATGCAGATAAAGATAAAACAGAAGCTTACATTCTGGAACTTGTGGTATGGCTTCACCATCTTGTCAGCCAAGCAAGGGCTGCCAATGGTGGAATCAGGTCTCCTGTGAAGTCTCCAATTCGGTCACCCAACCGGAAGGCAATTCAGTTGTTAACAAGTAAGCCAAATTCAATGTCCCCACTGTTAACTATTGAAGATCAAGAGATGCTTCGAGATGTAAGTAAGAGGAAAAAGACACCTGGCATAAGTAAGAGTCAGGAACTTGACACAGCGAGAACTAGGTTAAGTAAGCACCACAGGCTGAGTAAGAGCAGCAGCCATTCTCCAACAAGTGAAAGTAAGAAAGATCTCTTCCCTATTCGGAGGCCATCTTCAGTCCCTGTTATTGATTTTGACATTGATCGGATCAAAGCCTTGGATGTTATTGATCGTGTGGACACGATATGAAGTTCTTAAGCACATGGCCCGGATGAAGATGTACAAGGTGAAGTTAGGCTTGCAACTGCACAGATGCTTTATCTGCTGCAATTTTTCCATTTTGGGGGCTACTCCGTTGCTTTTGTGCTGCAGAGTACTTTTTTTTGGCCAAGTTGGCAGGCAGACGATGAGCAATATTAGGGATTGCCTGTTTGTTTGTTGAAATTAAGTCAGATAAATATATTGTTGTAGTAGGTCTTAATTGTTTTAGAGATGAAAATGATGATGCTGAGCTATATAGTTTTTCCTAGTATGTATGTACAGAAAACTTAAATTATTTTAAAAATAATTGAAAATTCCTGCATTTGTTTCATTTGTTGTCTGCAAGAAATTGCTTTCATTTTAAAGTAGCAGTTTGATACCACCCAAATGTTTTGCTAGTGAAAGGTGTGAATTCTGGCTACATTGAAATATGGTAAATCTGAAAGTAGCAGAATTATAATTTTAGCTGTTATGAATATTTTTTCCCTAACAATTCCGTTTTTTGTAAATTTAAAAAATTGATAATTTAGTATAAATATAAAAATATAGGAAGTTTTTTGCTTATTTAGTTTAAAAGAATATTTTGACCACAACATTCATTATTTCTTAAGAAAGAGCACAAATATTGTTAACTAAATTATGGTATCACCCATATATTGTGGTTATGTAGGGATAAACTTTGTGAGAATTAAAAATTTTATTATATAAATAATTAAAATGAAATTTTTAAATTATCGAAAGAAATTTTCATGATCTGATTCAAAAAAAGTTAATCTCGTAAAGATTTTCTTAAAAAATTTTCTTATCATATTTTAACTATTTTAAAGAACAAAAATAACTTTTCAAGCTCGATAAAGATTTTCTAAGTTTGAATTTTTCTTTTGGTTTCACAAGATAATCTCCAAAATTAATCCGTGATTTATGTAATAAACATTTTTTTAAATTCTGCATTCACCTGGTCATGTGTGAATATGCTTCACATCATATCTTCACATGTTGCAAAATTTTAAACACATTTTGATATTTCTATGAAGAAATTTTGAATCAGTTTTATTAACGGAGGACAGTTACATAAACATCATTAAAGATACACAAAACATAACAACTAGAAGACAACAACAAAGTTTATTAGTGATCTGTATATGGTAGTACAAGTACACTTTCTGGGTTATTGATTATACTACCACTGTCTAATATATATTCACAGGTATATATTCACAGGTATATATTCACAGGTACATAAACATCATTAAAGATACACAAAACATAACAACTAGAAGACAACAACAAAGTTAATTTGTCAGCATTCACAGGTATATATTCTTAGTAATACATCATTAAAATAATTAAATTAAACGAAAGAAGAAAAAAGAAGAATGGAAACTATTAATTATCATCTTCCTTCCACACATGTAATGGTTACTTTGTTAACAGAACATGTTATTTCTTGATTCTGTTGAGAAGACTCTGTATCAGTGGTAAATTGTCTCCCAGTGAAGCCAGGCTGTTTTGGTGCAGGAAGATCTAAAATCTCACTGTTTAGCATGGAAATTACAGCAGACATACTTGGCCTGTCTTGGACGAATTCTTGAACACACAATAGTCCTATGTGTATGCATCTCAGAATTTCGTTTCGAAAGATTGGATCAGAGATTGTTGAATCTATTAAAGGAGATACGATCTCTTCTTTCCACAATTTCCATGCCTGAAAAACTGAAACTATCAGCTTCCACAATGGAAAGACTAGAATAGAACTAATAATGCTCTTATAGTAAAAGTTTATAAAATAAAATCTACATAATAACATCAAGGTTAATTGAGCTTAGCAGACATACATATCCTAAAAGGCTTAAAGAATGGATATCATCGTGGAAACTTGTGTTCTTTCTCCCACTAACAATCTCCAACAACAATACTCCGAAACTGAACACATCAGATTTCTCTGAAAAGCGGCCTTCCATGGCGTATTCAGGTGACATATAACCACTGCATTTCGTTGATCATTATGCATAATCATATCATTTGAACTCAAAGAATGATACATCATTGATAAATTTTAGATGAAAAGAGTAGATACTTACTATGTTCCCACAACCCTTCTGGTGCTAGCTTGATTTTCATTCCCTCCAAAGATCCTAGCCATTCCAAAATCAGAAATTTTAGGATCCATTTCTGCGTCTAACAAGATGTTGCTTGCCTTTAAATCTCGATGTATGATTCGAAGTCTAGAATCCCTATGAAGGTAAAGGACACCTCTACTAATTCCTTGGATGATGTTAAATCGTTTACTCCAATCCAACAGTCCTTCTTTGAGTGGATCTGATGGAAAGAAAGAATTAAATTAAGGAAATAACATAGTCCACTTGAGGAAAGACATAACATGAACAGGTAGCTAACATAGAAGTGCAGCCACTAGCATGCTCTAATTACCGAAAATAAAAGCATCTAAACTTTTATTTGGCATGTATTCATAGACCAGCATCTTCTCGTCTCCTTCAATGCAGCAACCAAGGAGTTTAACAAGATTCCTGTGTTGTAGTTTAGAAATAACCACCACTTCATTCATAAACTCTTCCATGCCTTGTCCTGATGTCTGTGAAAGTCTTTTCACAGCTATTTCTTGTCCATCTTGCAGTTTTCCCTAGAAAATTAAAAGCAAATCAGTAACGATCTATCGTCAAATTTTCTTTTTTTCGTAGATTATTTACCTTGTATACCAGACCAAAACCACCTTGCCCAAGCTTATTGCTCGGTTGAAAGCTGTTGGTTGCTGTTACAAGTATCTCAAATTCAAACAACGGTAGCTCCTGAAAGTCTACTTGATTGATCTCTCCAAGTAAACTATCATCCGAAAACTGAGCTTCCCTTCTTTTTAAGAATGAGTTTCCTTTCTTCATCTCCTTAGGTGCTGATTTAGAATCTAGTGGCAGTAATTGTTTAGTTGTAAATATTTTCCTGTGTAAATAGCAGTACACCAAGTTTCTTATACTTACCTTTATGCTTAAGCAGTCTCCACCGAGCAAAAATTACGCAGACAGCAATCAAAATTGTTCCTATAATCGCT